TCTTCCTTCCTTCCTTCCTTCCTTCCTTCCTTCCTTCCTTCCTTCCTTCCTTCCTTCCTTTATTTATTTATTTATTTATTTATTTATTTATCTATCTATCTTATATGCCACCTACTCTATCCAAAGGTCTCTGGGCGGCTTACAACAATTAAAATTCAATTAAAATACAATAAAAGATAATTAACCCCAGAACTGTTTTTATTGAGTATGATACCTGATAATATAGATAAGACAAAGGAATATATAGTTATATACATAGTTACTGCAGCCAGAATTCTCTATGCCAAAAATTGGAAAAGTCCGATGGCACCAAAACAAGAAGATCTTATAGAGAAGATATGGGAAACAGCGGAAATGGACATTTTATCAGAAGTGATGAAGGACTGTCCTTTACAAAAGGCAACAGAAAGATGGGACTTATTCTACAAATGGACTGAGTCAACAGGCAGCGTATGAAGAGCATATATTGAAATGAGAACTTAAATCTGGAAGGCACAAAATAGTAAAAAGAGTAATTTGGAATTTTGATATGGCAATATGTATAGAATGGACGTTAGTATGTTATTGTTTCTCCTCTTCCCATTTAACCTCAGTTCCCCTTTTCCTTCTTGTCACCCCTTGTTAAATAAAATTAAAAAATACAATAAAAGATACACTTCATGGTTTTTTTCATGTTAAGTGTCACATACAAGAAAAAGGTTGAGTCACCTTTTTTCCATCTTAACTGGTTGCAAGTATGATTACTATATTGCCCACACCTCTTACTTGCGACGTGTGTGTAAACACAAATTAAAGGAGCATCACATGCTTGAAAAGCAGTTATTTCTTACAATTCGGATAGGGTGCCAATAATTTTGGCCAGTGCATTTTTGGGTTTCTGTGTGGGATTGTGTCAGATTTGACTTTTCTTCTCTTTTTTTAATGTTTTTCCCTTTCAAACCAAAGAAATGAACATGTGAGTATCAAAACATTTGCAACTGCAACAATTTTCTGAGAGAAGGGTTGCGTTTTCTGACAGAATTGCAAGGATGCCAATATTTTTGGCCATGACTGTATGTGAGGCAACCCCACTGCCAAAATAGCAGCAAATTTATTTATGTAACAGTTCCAGTTGGTGGGGGATGAGTATTCGGGAACATTGAAACCCCTTTCCCTCTTAGTGGCACAAAAAATAATACAAATGATTATAAGATAAAACATTGCAAAATGATAATGAAGCTAGTTTTCAAAGGTTGTAGGTCCTCATTGTAGATAGGCAATACCTGATGGGAGTAAAAAGAATAGAACGAAGAAAAGCAGGCAGAAAATGGTATTAAGATTAATCCTTTCCAGTGTAGAGACTTCTAGGGGCTCTTGATTTTCTAGCTCTTTTTAAAAACTTGGCTGCAAAAAACCCATAGCCCCAATATCAAGAAACCTCCAAATGCTAACTTGGTGCAGCATATAGGGCAGTCTGCTTCACACATCAGTTGCCCAGGTATAAATGTGTCCATTGTTTATGGCCCCTGGCAGTCATATATTTGGCATTCATGAGAAAGGACCCATGTGCATGTAATTCTTCATGGTAGTTGAGATCCCAGCATGCTAAGGATTTTTGTTTTTGTAGAACAATGGTTCCCAATCTTGGGTCCCCAAATGTTCTTGGACTAAAACTCCCAGAGACCTTCAACACTAGCTGTGCTGTCTGGGATAGAATTATAGTCTGTAGACCCAAGGCTGTTAAACAGCCTCGTAGAACAACCATATACCTCTATGGTAATTATTCATAAATAATGTGCAAATATGGTTGTTGTGGGTTTTTCGGGTTCTTTGGCTGTGTTCTGAAGGTTGTTCTTCCTGACCATTCGCCAGACTCTGGAGATTATCACAGTGACAGATAATCTCTCCCCCCCCTTATCACAACAAAAACACGCTGATCACCCTATCTCCTGAAAAAAAGACAAAAGCTGTTCCCACAGCTATAAATACTCAACTATCCAACAAACAGCAACAGGACATGGACAGAGTTCCTACTCCAGTCCTCTGAAGATGCCGGCCAAAGAGACTGGTGAAAAGTCAGGAAGAACAACCTTAAGAACAGGATCAAAGAACCTGAAAAACCCACAACAACCATCAGATCCCGGCCGTGAAAGCCTTTGAGAATACAATGTGCAAATAGTTGTTAGTGGATGTGACAGCAGGAACTTTATTAGAACTGACAATCCTGGACCCTCTTTAAATATGAGCATAAGAAGGTAGTTTTACTTTATTTTATTTATTTATTTATTTTATTTCTATCCCGCCTATCTGATCGTATTAGACACAATCCTGGACCCTCTTTAAATATGAGCACAAGAAGGTAGTTTTACAGTAGTTTCCTTGTTAGGATCAGGACTGCAGCCCAGGAATTAAGTTGCAGGGAAGTTTCAAAGGACCAGTGTGGTGTACAGTGGACCCTTGACTTACAGACTTTTTGAGTTACAGACTTCTCTGGCCGCAAAATTTAGGTTTGACTTGCAGCCTGAGAATTGACTTACAGACCAGAAAAAAACCAAAATGGAACAAAAACGGCCTGTTACGGGATTAATCGGTTTTCAATGCACTGTAGGTCAATGGAGACTTGACCTACAGACTTTTTGACTTGAGAACCGCCTTCCAATACGGATTAAGTTCTCAAGTCAAGGCCCCACTGTATTGGATTGAGTAATGGACCAGGACTCGGAAGATGTGGTTTTGATGGAAACTCATGGGGTAGGGGGACTGGGACTGGCAAAACCATTCCTTGAATAGCACACTTAACTTGAGAGCCCTGTTAGGGTTGTTATAAGTCAGTTTAAAGGGACAAGATACAACAACAGCAACAGAAGTTTAAACAGTTCTAGGAATTATGATGCTAAAAACTATTTTTAAAAGGGTTTTGTAAAGCAGTTGGGATTGTCAGGCATGATCAAATGATTTTGGATGACATGTAAAAAAAGTAAAATATTGCTTAGTTCACCTGGTTATCCTTCCTTAAAGGATATTTAAGTGCCCTTGGAATTCATTAATTCTCTTGATTTCTGGTTGAAAGAGAAAAAAAGAGTGAATTCAGCCTAGATTACATTGAAACAAATAGAACATGTAGGTTATTGTAGTGAACAACCCTGACCTCACCTGCCCATCACTGCGGAACTTTGACGCAGGAGCCAATGAGGGAATGGTGGCAGCGAGGAGAAAGGAAGAGAGTGAAGACCAGGGAAGTGGGGACTTCAAAGGCGATTGTGACGATTACCATGATGTTGATGGGCCCAAAAGTCAACTTAGTTTGGATCCAATCCATGTATTGTTTGAAGGTTGTGAACAAAGGAGTTACAGATCATATTAAATACAATATCTGGCAAGTGTCAGCTGCCTTTATTCCTATTATGCTGGGGAGCCTTTTTAAAGCTGGGCACAGTGTTTGTGTCCAGCTAAAGAGGAAGGAATAAAAGGTACACGAATTGCATGTCTCTTGATTCAAGTATATTTGTTATCTGCAGCCCAGAAAGGACCAGATGGAGCCATTATTTCCAACAACTACTGTGACTTCTGCCTTGGAGGATCTAACATGAACAAAAAAAGTGGGCGGCCAGAAGAACTTGTTTCGTGTTCAGACTGTGGGCGCTCTGGTAGGTGATTCTATATTGTAATTTTCTGAGAGCAATGAACATGAATGGTTCGTTTTAACCATGCATACAGAATATGGATTGGTTGCTTTGTTTTGTATGACTGGGAATGGCTGTTCATTCCTAGAGTATAACTCTGAATGCATATTTTAAAAATAATGGGCTAATACAGAAATGTGTGACCAAAAACAGGGGGTCTTATATAAAAATAGATCTGTTCCTGTTTGTAACCAAGACCTATGTTAAATGAGAGTTTTTGTGTTTAGAAATTGTCACTACATACGTGGTTGCTAATGAGCTGTTGAGATTTCTGCCACTTGGATGATAGGTGGCACACAGTTTACAGTCCTTCTCTCCTCTATATCTGTGTGATGTATGTCTGCCAACAAAGGATAACTCTACATGTGTCTTCTGGGTTAGATTCTAGTCTGCAAAAGCATGTCCCATGACAAACTTGTTAGTCTTTAAATGCTGAAAGGTTCTTAATCACCACAAGCAGATTAACACAGCTGCCCCTCTTGAAATTGTTACAGAAAGACAGCTAATATTGGTCACAGTCCTTCTTAGCTGTTGACTTCTTTTAGCAACAGGCAGTACTTCTAACCTATTTATTTTGTCCAATAGTTTTGAATTTTTGATACAAGCCTTTTTAAATTTTTTTTATCTTTCATGTATGTGAACCAGCTTCAGAATACTGTATACTACAGAAATCTGATTTTACAGTTGGGCTTCATTCCATAGACTAGTATACTGTACTAGCACAGTATACCTGTATATCTGCTTTTTCCTCATGATCTGTCACAGAAAGAAAAATAATAGCTGTGTTCCAATGCATACAATATTTTGTTCTTTTGCTTTATTAATTCAAATTGTTTACCAGAGCAAGTTATCTATTAGACAGTATTTTGGGTGCAACTGTACAACATTCTTAATTATAATTTAAATGTTACACATTTTGCTCAAAGAATTTTTTTCCTATGCCAGAAGGAACTATATCAGTGTTGTATTGTTCCTTATATGCACCCAGTAATATCTTTCAGTTATGCATTATTATGCTCATTGCGTCTCTGACAGGGGCTGGACCATAGTGTCTATTCCAGCTCTACAGTTCTAAGATTTTTATTGTTATATATTATTGTTATATTATATATATTGTTAGAGTTGTGGTTTGATTCCATCACATCTTTATATCAGCATTTTTTTCATGATTTTTTTCCTTCAGTTCTGTGAAACTATGCTAGTAGAACTGTTGGAGAACAAACGGGAGCTGGGATTTAACATTTTATTCTTCAAGGGGATGGATCCAGGAATATGGCATATTATGAAACCTGTGTAACCAGTTATTTATTGCATTAAACTGTTTCGTATGTTTTTCTTCAACTAGCTGAAACATTTATTGTAGGCACATTTATATATGAACACTTTGTAAAGATGTAAAATAATGTGTACATTTTGATTTGTTAGTACTGTAAATGGTTTGCACTTTGTTTTGCAAAGGAACCACATCCATTAGGAGATCTGGTGAAGGAAGAGATCAGGATGGTGTGTTTTTTAAAAAGACACAACAAACTTCCAAATGATATGAGTTATTATGCTCAAATGATAAATTTGGGACAGTTGGTGCCAAAATGAAGGCCAGCCATTGTTACCTTGTACTCTTAAAGGATAATACACAGTAGGAAATCCTTAAAAACTGTTCAAGACCTTTTTTTCTGTGTGTTTTAAACAGAGGAAAAGAGTATTAACCCTTTTGCTGCCTTAGCTTATGGGCATCTCTCATGGTGTAATTTTTTTAACCCTTGCAAATGCAATTCAGTTTATACTTCCTTTATTGCTCTTTTTGCTATTTCACTGATTTGTGTTATTGACCTGAGCCATTTCAGATATTTATTGCTTGTGTGTACATATATGGGTGGGAGATCTATTTAGCCTAAACTGCTTAACAATGGTAATAATGATTGTTATAACAATATTTATGGTGCCTGTTACTTAACCCATGTGCTGATATATTCATCATACATGTCAGCTCATTTGGGAAGAGAAAGCAGGAAGGAAGAAGCGGCGACAGCACACACTACGGAGGACTTGTTCGGTTCCACATCTGAAAGCGACACCTCAACTTTTCATGGCTTTGATGAGGATGATTCAGAAGAGCCTGTCTCAAACCAGAGCAGCACCTCCCCCTCTGCAAAGAAAAAGGGCAGCTGCTAAAATAACTAATCTCATACAAACTCTATGAGCTATTTCCTGCCCTTTTGGCTATTTTTATTCTTACCGTTGCTATTGCATTTTTATTAGACCCATGATCACCTATGGGTGTGTACACTTAAAGCACAAGTCTAAAATTGTAGAAAACTTTTTTTTTTTTAAAAAAAGGATTTGGTTATCTTATTTTCATTATTTCCCCTCCTTTCTTTCTCTTTGCAAGCCTGAAATGTAGATGTCAACAAACAAACAAACAAACAAATAATAGATAGAAGAGAGCAAAATTTCCAAATTTTAATATATATCCTCCAGATTAAAAAAGAGTTGGACACAAAAAATCCACCTCAAATAGTATTTTAAAGTATTTATTTATATATTCTCTCTATATAATTATTAGAAGAAAAAAGCAGTGACAATTTGCTTGATAATTTAAAAGAGAAACAGCTATGGTGTTGATCGTTCAATGATAAGGAACACCGAACCCTTGCCAGTGTGAGTCTGGAACTGTGAAAAGTTTGCACACTGGATTTTGTGACTTCCCACTTTGTAGTATTCCCATCTTCATCTTTAAAAGTTTGGAAAATCAAGAAAGATCATGTCCGGACTCCTTCCAGTGGACACATTTGTATTCCTTCAAGAATCTCTCATCTCTCCCAGCTTGGCATCTTTTTACCAGGCACTGCCTCAATCTTGCTTTACTTCGCCTTCTACGCTGTGGAAAATAATTTCCAAGCACATGTATGGAATACAACCATTAAAGTCACAGATTCTGCAAAGAGGAAACAAATGATGTCAATCATGAAAGAAATGAAATGGGAAAAATACCTCACATTTCTTTTACTTTACTTTTAAAGTTTTTTTAAAAAAAACAAAACAAAACCCACTTAGTCTTATTTTTGATACCTCTCCTTGAAAGATACCAAAGCAATACTCACTAATCTTCAAAGGGCAGCAGAGAAGATGGAAACTCAGTCTCATTTGGTATTCTAGCAGCATGGAGTTGAACAGCAAGAGTGAAAAGGTATGTTCCAAAATGAATTCGTTTCATACTTTGGGGAAACTCTGTGCTCTGAGCTTGTCCCACATTGCTTCATAAAACCTTGCATGCTGGCCATGTTCCATCAATCATTTCTAAATAACCATGATTTCCCATTTCAGCTAAATTATGACAGTATGATTATTACCTTCAGAATAAATTGGTTTAATATTAAGAATTAACCCTAATCCGGCTAAAAAAATTTCTTCCACATTCTGGAATATCTTTAGTTTTGAACCACTCAGAGAATGAGGTTGGTTAGGAATTTGATATTAATGTTGATACAATCTTGAAAAATATTCTAGGAAGACATGATCTGTGTACAGTATGTATATCTGTGTGAGTGCATATTCTCCTTAGTTATACTGATGAATTTTGAAAAGTATTTTTCTACCAGATCATGTTAGCACCTGCACTCCCATTATAAAATGATCAATGATACGTTAACTTAATGCCAACAGAACTGCAAGGGCCTTGAGTCACTGGAAGTGTTCATTCTTTGCATGCCATGGTATCTTTGGGTAGGGGCAAAAAAGATTTCTGAGGGATTCTCAGCACAGTCATTGCCATTCTGTGTTGTCAGCACTGAAGGTATACATGCCAGCTTCCTATGTCCTTGTGAACATCATCTAGTTATATTGTTTTGTGTATTGCTCCTGCATCTGAACTAATAGTTCAACTCATATTTGCTATTGATTATCATTATTGTGGAGTGCTTCCTAGGATAACAGCCAAGTATGAAAAGTTACTGTTTTTGACTAAAACTCCCAGAATACAACATACTTAAATTCATTTAGTCTACTTCATATTTTGTCCTACTGGTGCCTGCTTGTGCTCCGGTATATTTATTTATTACAGAATACTTTGTAGCTTTTCAAGATCTGTACTGTCAAAAACTTTGCTACAGCCAAAAAACCAGCCCAGACCGATTTTTCTTTGGAATTTTTGTTGTTGTTGTTGTTATGCTCCAGTTGCTAACATATATTTGCAAGATGATCCCAAATTTTCCAAATCACACTCCAACATTGTGAAGTTTTTGCTTTGTATATGGTGAACAAAACCTTAAGCATTACTTTTCTTGCATGGGAGGTTAAGGTGCCAGTCCTATAGTTAATGTACACTTTGCAGTTCCTGATTTCAAGGGATTGGAATGTATATTTAACACATCCAGTTTGTGGGTCATTGTTTTGTTTTACATATTTTTTAGCATATTCTTGTTGGGATTTTTATAGATTCAGAGGGAGGCTGCATCGGCATTTTACCTGCTGTTTGGTTCATTGTGGAGATGGGCTGGTTCAGTCTTAAAGATTGCGATCAAATGATGTCTTTGCTGAATGAACTGGTCCTCCTCTTGGTCCTCCTCCAAGCACACCTTTCCATCACTCGTCAAAGGCTTCTAATTTTGGTATGTGTGAGGGTAGGATTGCACCAGAAGATATGGTGGGTTTCCTAGTGCTCCTATTTAGCTTGCACCAGCCAGCCAAGCTATACAGTCAAGTCCTTACTCTTTGTAGCTTGAAATAATTTTACTGGTATCCCATCTACTCCTGGTAACCATAGACTTGAATAATGGTTATATTGATTGCTTTTCTATATCTGATTGATATTTTTAGTCAGACTTTGCATTATAGGCCCTGAGTACTTGTGACATATTTTACCTCACAGTTAGATCCACACTTCTGAGTCTGCCATTTCCAGAGTAAAACATTTAGTATTTGTCTTACTAAAAATAACCTCTTGCGGTTCACTTCAGTTTGCTCAC